ATACAGATTCTTCATCTGACCATCTACACTTTTGAAATGAAAAGCTCCTCTCAGATATGAGAAAACAGCAACTTCCTGGTCTTCATTAAATGAGTTACCTGCATCACTCATTTCAAAAACTCCTGCCCAGTACCTAAGGATAAACTAACACTTGCAAACTGAACAATTCAGTGAGACAGAGAGATACAGTTGGGCTTCATCATCTACATGATTCCATCAAAAGAATGCTTCCCCACTGCAATTTCCCACCCATAGAGGCTAAGCACACACCTAGCCTTCTGGCTTCCGGCTATGAAGGAAGTCAGGTCCTGTGCACCAGAGAGTAGGCCTATGGTTGATACAACATTGGAGGCAACAACAACAAACTAGTTTGATTCAGTTTCTTGGCACTATGTAACATCTGCAAAACCTGGGTGGAGCACAGGTGGCTGAGACTTGCTAAGAGAGTTAAAAACAGATCCTCACCCTTTCACCTACCACATTCATAGGCTCAGGAGCGCAGTCTAAGGGGGAGGGGGGTGAAAACTTCAGTCTGCACGTAATTTTGAGATTCCTCTTTTGGCACCTGTCTATAATATGGATTTGAATAACCTATTAACATAGTAAGAACCTTCTGGGGAGACTTCTAGGAAATCATTAAAAGATACCAATGAACATACAGTTGGCCTGAATGAGTTTATGAAATCCTCGACCAATCTCACCTCCTTTCAGAATGATAAAGAATCTGGCTCATTTAAAATGTTCATGTGTGCAAGAAATGGGCCTACAAATCCATGCAAACTTTATTCAACTGAAACCCTGCATTGAACTTGTTGATTGCCATGTCTGGCATGATTTAGAGTTCTAGCAACTGTTTTTAAAACTATGTAATGTTTTAAGGGTTTTTACATCCATCTTAAAACTTAAATAGATACCAAGGTAAGGGACTAGTAACTGTGGAACCAGAGCTGTCCTCCTGAAACACGATGACAAAGCCAAGCATCAGAGTTATCCGATGTAACTAGAGAAACAAACTTCCATGAGTAACTTCACTAACTAGATGTGCTGCATAAACACCACAACCCTGAGAGCAATACCGGCAACTAGTGCCATGTCTAGTATCAACACGCGCAAGGTATCTTCGGAAACCACCGGAACCTACGTCTGAATATATAAAGACTTAAGAAACTGCTTCTGTAAAGATAAGTAAATAAAAAGAAAATATGCCTTTTAAGTATTTTCCCGATTGTAATAGTCACTGCAAATGCCCAATTTAAAAAAAAAAAACATCGACTCTACCAGGCACCAGGGAGGTGCTTAACAAAAGCCACTTAATGTAACCACAGATCAGAAGCATGGGGAGGGGGACCCCTTTAACTGCATAGAAAATATTTATGAGTTTACTTTCCTTATGCATACAATTGGGTCCTTGTTTTCAAAGCCCTGCAACTCCCATCAATGGAACAAAAAAACTTAAGAGACAGCAGAAAGTTAGCTTCCTAGGAGAAGGCACTTTGAGTAAGGAAGAGCACCAAAGAACCAGAATCTTTTTTTAAAAAACCGATTTCACAAGTTTCTCGTCTTGAAAAGATAGAAACAAACGGATACACTGTGCGAAGGTTTAGCCGGCAATTTTTCAATCACATCTACCTACATTCAGCCAGTTAGTCCTGAAACCTCGGAGCCGCGCTCCTTCGGGGCACAAAACATCTGGGAGAACAACTCTGCGACTCCATTTCAAAGATGCCATCTGACGACTGGCCTCTCCTTTCACCTCTCCTCCACTGTGAGTGCTATTTCATAAACTGGAAGAATCAACCCAGCAGAGCGATCAGCGAGCCCTTACAGACAACGACTGTTCCCGAAGAGCGCGGAGCGCGCTGGGCAAGTTTCCCAGCTCCAGGGCGCAGCGGAAGTCCTCGCCCCCGGGGCCACCCGGTAGCCGCGCGCGCCGCGGCGCCGCTTTGATTTCCAGCAATGGCTCCAGGACCAGACCGGTGCTGCTGGGGCCGGCTGGCTGGCGAGCCGATTCCTATTCCCTGCACGTCGTTGCGACTCGTTCCCCCTCCCGCCCCTGCGCCCCGCCCCCGCCCCCGCGCCTGGCCACCGATCCCTGAGCCAGCAATGAACTTTTCAGTGGGCAGGCGCCACGGCACTGCCCACCTTCCAGCCCGGCTTTCTTTCACCCCCTCTTCCAGAGCTCCAGCAGGAGCACTGTCTGCAGCTGGGCAATCTGGCGAAAGCACCCCGGGAGCTCCAAGTCCGCCATCCGACACAGCTCGCTGCATGTCTCCCCGGGCACCGGCGGCGGGGCGCCCCTCGCCCACCCTCCCCGAAGCTCCAACTTCGTTCCTATCAAACTTACAGCAAAGTTGGCCTCAGGGGGCGGTGGCGGTGGCGCTTTCTGAGGCCGCGCACCTCGTCGCCTCAAGGCTCCCCGGGGCAGGGATCGGGCTGGCCGGGGGAGTCACTGGGCCCGCAGAGCCGCATAGTGTCGCGGGCCAGGTGTCGCCCGCCCCTCGCGGACCCCACTCCCGGGATCGCAGGCACCGAGTAGATCCCTCCGCCCGCGGCCACGCCCGCGAGCGCCGGCGCTCGTTTCTCCGGCTCGGAAACTCGAGCAGACTTTCCCTGGCGGCGGCACTCTGAGCCCGGGGATCCCCGGCGACCATGCCCCGTAGGGAGTCAGAGACCCCCTTCGGCTCCAGCCGCCAACTCCTGGCGTGGAGTCCGGCGAGTACCCAGGGCGAGCTTGAGACACCCCGAGGAACCGCGTGGGGCTTGCTCTAGTGCCTGTGTCGTTAGGGCCAGCACAGATTTGTGCAGAGAATTAATTTGTAATGCTTCTTACTGGGAAAGGGAAAGTTGAAAAAAAAAAAAAGCCATCTAAGGCTAATGAAAAAGCTTCCCACGCCTCCCTTTAGATTGTCTAGAACCCTCAGGGAATTCCTAAATCTGCATTTGAATGCCTCGGTTCCGGGTCTGCAGTAGCTTGGAGGGGAGGAGGTGTAAAAACCCTCCAAAAGGTCTGAAAGGAATGCAGTTAGATCGGAATGACTTCCTCCCTAAATCATTAAGATCCGGAAAGATAAGAGCGCTTCCTCCGAGACCTCTTAGTGCGGAGCTAGTTAGTCCCCACAACCTCCCCGACCGCGGTGAGGAACCCCAACACCCGCCTCCGCCGGCGAGCACTCGCGACTCGCAGGTCTGCGGGACAAAAGGCATCTGTGCCTCCTCGTGCGCTTTGCCAGCCGGCTAACCGGCTAAGTCACACCCTGCGCACGGAACCCTTTCTGACTTGAAACTACAAGTTCCCGAGGGAGAAAGGGAAGCCCCGGGCGTCCAGACTCCCCCTGCGGGGACTCCCCACGCCGGGCGCGCAATCCCGCGTTCCCTACAGGGAGCCGATCTCAGCGCCAGCCAAGCTCCAGACGCCCGGGCTCCGGGCAGCTGAGACGCCGCGGAAGCCTGGAATGCTCCCGGGCTTTGGGAAACAGCCCCGAGAAGAGGGCGGACATGACCTCGGAAAGTTTCTGGGGCTCGAACAATTTAACTCTGTGAGGACAAAGAGGTCTGATTTCCCCGGAGCCGGTGGAGGGGGCTGCTGGGTGAACCGCCCGGCAGATGGGGGCGAGGGAGTCTAGGGTCAAAGGGCCAATTTCCTTGGTTCAACATTAATGCAGTCTCCTCTTAAACCATCTTAAAGAAGGTGATGGAAAAAATAAAGGTGTCTAGCAGGTTATGGCTGGGAAGGAAAAATAATGCCTGCGGCGTGAGTATGCTGGTGCCTAGCACTAAGAAGAGTACGTTGCGTGTTCCCTGCGCATTATTCAGAATACACACAAACTCACACCCCCAACAAACACTACCATCCGAACACGGCCACAAATGCGCAAAGTGCTCCTGCAGTTATAGGTCAGTTTCATACATGGACACCTCAGAAGTAGGTGATCTTCAAACTCAAATCGGTGTTCGCCATTTGCCGAGTTGTAACTCTTAACCAAACACATCCACACAAGATACACCAACAGCGGGGGGTGAGGCGGTAAAAGTGAAAAGACACCTTCCCGCAACATAAAATCACAAGCTCTCTTTAATGGCACGAAAGAATTCCTGCAGAAAATTACCATTCGCTAATAAATAACAACGCTTACTCCAGCTGTAACGTCTGCTTGGGAGTCCCGGTGTTCCAGGCTTACTAAGAAACCTAATTGCCTGGATGAAGTTGCACTTGGTCGCCACAGGTACAGCAGAGAGCCAAGGATGGAGATTTCAGACTCCGGCGCTGCCACGTTGTTACCGATCCTTTACCCCCAACGGAACAAAATAGAGGTGCCTTTTGGGTACCGTCGAATTACCTTGGCATGGAAGAGAAATGCAGTTCGAGCTCCACGTTTCTCCTTTCAATAGTCGGCCCTCCCTAACCTTGTCCCCAAAGGCCTTTGGAAATTAGGGGAGTGGGGGACGGTTCCTGAAAAACAAAAACGCTTTCCTCCAGCACCTCCTCTGAATCCAGTCCACTCAAACTACTATTTGTAAGTGACATACAGAAGGGGCCGGAGTAGATGGTAAGTGAAGGCTAGGGTAGCGGCGACGGAGTTCACGCCCACGTCCCAGGAGCAGGTCCAAGTTCGCCGTGCGCAGAGAACCCGGCAGGGAGCGCGCTCCCGGCCCGGTGACCAGCCTAGAGGGCGCTGCGCCACTGTGAATGGCGCGGTCCGGGATGCGCCCTCCCTAGGCACCATTTCTATAATAAGTTACATCCAAAATAATGCACAAACAGCATAGCTTTTCAAGTTCTTTTGAACAGTGCTATGTGTGCATTTTATGAATCCCCAAACCCATGCATGCCGATCTTTCGTTTTCCAGCCACGCACAGCCAGAGGGGAGCGCAGCTCGCCGAGGGGAGAGCCTGTAGGATGCACACGCTTCCCTGCACTAGGTTAGAACCCAATACCCCACGTAATTTCATTTACGTTTAAACTTAAATACATAAGGCTTCCATTAAACAAAGAACTCACCAGTCCAGCCGAGTCCTCGGTGCTCTGCTTTAAAGTCTTCGGCGGCTCCGTAATCCCCCAAGCGATTTGGATATTTGTTACAAGCCGTTTCTGAAGTACCAACTTTGCCTCCCACGGATCCTCAGCATGTCCCCGACAAGAGTGCGTTCCACCCGCGCTGCCCGGACCCAGGTGGCCGCATCTCCGGAGGCTTCAGTCCTGGGTGAAACTTAAGCACCGAAACGAGGCGAGCGGAGAGTGCGCGAGGGCTAGAAAGAGGGCCGAAGAGAAGCCAAGTTTGTCCGGACTTGTCCAGGCAGCAAACCGCCGAGTTTGAGAGTTGCGGCCGGGAGCTGCGGCGGATCACTGCCTCTTTCCCCACTCCCTCCCTCTTGGGAGAGCTGGGGGGAGGGGAGGTGACGTCAGCGCCCCGCCTCGCCCCAACCGGGAGGCTGGGAAGGGATTCTCCGGCGGGGTCCGCCTCCGGGACAGTAGCGGCGGCGAGCCGGGAAGCTGGAGCCGGCTCACCTGCCCAGCTGCGGTCCCTCCCGCGCAGCGTCTGCGCCTCTGCCCCGCCGCGTCTCCGGGCTCCGCAGACCGCAGGCGTTTCTCCAGCCCAGCACCGGAGCGGCCCCCGGCCCCGCTGCGCGCCCCTCTCTGGCTGCCTTTCAAGCCCCCTCCGGCAGCGATTCCCACGCCTGGAACTGCAGGTGATGCTCTCCCTCTGCTGCAGCTGAACGGCGGCGTCGCGACGTGTTGCCTGCTCGGGTGTTGCAGGAAGGAAACACGAACAGTCCCTGCAGACCGGCCTGGACGACCTGACTTGTACTTTGTAGCCCTCCAACTTCTGGGGGTGATATATTTTAAATACTTCTTGTGCTCTAGCGCTGTTTGTGGTCTTTGTGTTGAAAATCACGGAGCCATATTTTAAGCTCCCAACCCTTTCCAAAAGCGCCTACGTTTTCAGACTGTACTCTGAGGCAGAGAAGGTTCCGAGGGGTGGGGGGGAGAAATGGGGGAGGAGCCAATTTGTGATGTTTCTTACAAGTCTTCACAGGGGCCAATACACAGAGGAGTTGTCTACTCCTCGTAGTGTAGACTGAGATACTCGCCAACACTGTTGATGTTTAATTTATATGCGAATGCGTCGTTTTTATGTAAGCGTCCAGGCCCCGGAGAATTTTTTTAGTGTCGCTAAATTACTAAAATAAAATATCCCCCGAACAGCCTGAGATTCCCAGGGAGTCATTTCTGTGAGTTGGTTGACACTATTCCCAGAAAGTTAGCATGAAAATTCCAGGATACCTAGGAAGGGGCCGGAGTGGGGGGAGGGGGCGTTGCTGGGAGTGGCTTCCATCACTGCATTTGCAGTCGTCGATGTAAATCTAGTGGTCATTTCAGCTGACCCTTGTGTTTGAAAGGCAAAGAGCAAAACCCGGAAGGCACAGGACATAGGAGGCAGAATGAAACACTTAAGAGAATGAAAGATTAAATGTTGGAGTGGTGTATGTGCTTAGTCTTGAGAAAGTCATGTAACCTACCTAAATTTCAGTTTTCTCTTCTGTGGGAGGGGAGTAATATCGGTTCCACGAGGTAAAAATGTACTCACGTGTTTGTCCATTCAAAGACTGTGTATCGAGTGCCATTTACTTGCCAGGGAGATAGCATTCAGTCGCGCAGACAGCACTCTTGCTGATGAACACGCTGTAAAGAGTCTAGCAAGCACAGAGTAGTTAATATATTTTCTTACCCACGCTTGTTCTTTACAATGTCTCCCTTTTCTCATCTGTAAAATTAGGAAGGGCTCAAGGGAGGTTATCGCAAATAATTCAGAATAGTTTTTGATTTGCAAGGAGGGGAGAACACGGAGAGGCTAGGAGAGCTGACAGCTACAGGAAAGGCCCTTAGAGGGCCCGGAAATACTTGGGGGCTGCCCCCAAGGTAGCAGGTTCTTGAGGAGGGAGGAGGCCACCAAAGGAAAGACTGGCTTGAAGGCCAGCCTGTCAGCCCAGAGGACAGACCCCTCATGCTTCCCTATGTCAACTGAACCCGCCCACTCCTTGTATGTCAATAGCTGAAACGAGAAACTGACCACACATGACAATTCTGTAGATGACATGCATGAATCCCCCCTCCCAGCCACTGCTGTGCAGGCCAGTTTGGTTTGCCGTACTAATCTATAGAGCTATCACAGATAAATCTAATTACTTCTATTAAAAAACGACATGAGAGGAACTCATATATAATAATTAATGGAATTAATCAAAATAGCTACTTTTACAAACAAGGGTGGTGATTTCTGGCAGGGGAAGGCATGAGGGAACTAAATGGTAATGGAAAAAGTACAGTGAAGATTTCATTTTAAAAAATAAATAAATACATAAATAAAAACAACTCGGTAGTGGTCACCGAGTTGTTCAGGGCCAGTGAAAGAGCACTTTTACTGTGGACCACATTGTTGAAGACTTTGCTATGGTTTTTGAAGGCTACGTCAAGTATCACGATATTGACTCATCCGATACTGAGTAACTTCCACAGTAAAAAGAAAAAAAATAACAACCACAAAATAGAATCACAGAAGGATTTATTTACTCATTCCACAAATATTTATTAAGTACCAACAATACAGAAAGTGAAATCAGGACGCTAGTGAGTAAGGTATGTTTGGTGATTAAGAAATATTGACTCAGCTTAACAAAGGTAAAAATGCCTCAAGTGGAGGAAACTTGAAACCCTCGTGTTAAATCGCAAGTGTAGAATTGCTAACTTATGAGAATTAGATTGATTAGCAGCCATTGTTTTGTATTGTAATAACCGTAGGCATAGTATAAATTTCATACACCAAGTGATGGCTGCAGAGTGCTGCAGGTGACACGTGGTTATCTGTAGTCCATTTGAAATGTGGAATGACTGAAGAGGGTGGGGAGAGGGGAAGCAAATATTTGAAATTTGGAAAATCCTAAGCTTTTTGGTAAGAAATTGTGATTTTCACTTACATTCTTTAAGGATATAAAAGTCTGATAGTTTCTGTAGTTAAATTAAACCATAACCATTGTTGATCATGGGGCAGATAATGTTCGCCTGCAGAGAAAGTTATAATCTAAGAATTTAAAAAAGAGCCCCTGAGGTTTTTTGTATAATTGCATTGATTTATGTATTTATGTGAATTTATAAACTGCAGTAAGTTTTGAATGAGGTTCATCTAGTCTGATATAAGTAAATAAATGAGCCTGTAGACTGACTGCCCCAAACTAAAAAGTACGGTACTTGGAATTGCATTCTTAATGGTTGTAGTGTTGGTGAAGTACTAGTATGCAGAAAACAAAGGGATTACACACACACACACACACACACACACACACACACACAGAAATATTAACATGGCTGCACATGCCCTTTCAGTGGTATTCCGTCATCGCTGAGTACTAAAACCAGAGGAAATACTAAATTTGAAGCAAGAAAGAACTCTAAGACATTTTCAGGTGTAGTCCTAGGACTGAGTAACTGTAAGTTGGTGGACTGATTGCCCTCTGTTCCTTTTCACGGCTTTCTCACCTGCCTGCACCCCTTTTCTGCCTGTGCTTCCTGAAGGCGGCATGCTATTCAGCCCTTTCCACTGCCCCGTGCTTTGGAATTATCTTATCCTTTGCACGCAAATGCAGCTCTCCCTGGGATCTGCCCGTCCTTTCCGAGGGGGGAAGGGGATTAGAACTGACCAGGACTGAACTTGACGAGGACAAAGAGTGGTAGATTGATACTATGGGTATCAATACATTAATATTCCTGGCCCTTTCCAAGTTCACTAGAACAAGGGTTCTGTTTTTTATGAATTAATTAACTTATTTTTATTTTTTCTTTATTTTTATTGACACTATTACAGAAGAACAAGAATAGTCTTAAACTACATCTCAAAGGTAAAATTTTACCCTTAATGGTGAAAATCCAGATGCTATCACGGGTTGGCAAAATATTTGGAGGTATGGCAAATCGCCCACGGGGTGGCTGACCATTAACGCAACAATGAGAAAGGACTAAGTATACCTTCACTGTAGGGACAGATACATAGTGGAACAGGCTGGTGGTGGACTTTCTATTCCTACAAATATGAGACCAGCATTCCCAAGTGGTCAGGCAACAGATCTTGCGGGAGAAATATAATGCCTGTGATATTTTCCCCGTGCAGTGATTGAAGGATTCTAGGCCTGGCTTTTTGAACAGTAAGCAATGAGTCACACAGAAATGTAAATATATTTTGTCAATAGAGAGAGTAGAAAGAACATTACACTTGAGGTCAGTAAATCTGGTTTGAGTTTCATCTTTGCCACATCCACTCTAAGGTATTTGGTTATTACTGAATTTAGGGAGTCTTTCGTCTATCAAGGTGTGTCTCCAAAAAGACCTTCAAAAAATGCGCCTCACCAATTGTGAGAGATTTGGGTAAAAATAAAAGACAACAACTATGATGCCATCATTCTACTCAAATATACCCACTATGTCTCACCTCGGTCATGAGGTTGTGTAGAACCAATAGCAATAAGTAACATTGATGTAATGCCAACTATGTTCCAAACTCTACCAGCTTCTTTGTATGCAACACTCTTAGGTCATTTTTATAAAATCCTGTAGGATAGCAGCAATTACTACCTACCGCCGTGTTACAGATGAGAAAGTGAGGTGTAGGTAGGTTAGATAACTCACACTGAACCCCCTTGTGGACTGAAACCCAAGGCTGGCTGTCTCCGCAGCCAACACTCTTGTCAATGTGATGCCCTAGCTCCCCGTTCTCCAGCCCCATTTGTACCCTTCGAGAATCCAAGCTGTTGCGGTCAGCAATGTTGTGGTTTAAGAAGCATCCTAAGAGGAGAACAACAACAACAACAAAAAATTTGTCGAATGATGGCTGGAGGAATATTCTCCTTTCAGCAGCTACACTGAATGGGGATTTTTAAACATTGTTTAAGAGGGGGCCCTTGAATCGTAGAGTGAGAGCATTGCTGAACGTGTTGAGACGTGTAAATGTAATACATATCATTTGTTTGGCTTACCTATTTCCCTAGGCGGATATGCATGCTCTATAAACACATTTCTTTTCAACTCAGAATTGTGGTCTGGCTTCTAACTTCAGTCTGAACAGCAGAAAAATACACACCAATGATTCTCAATGAATTCTGACAGGGACTATCTCACAGGATTTCATGATCAGCATTTCAATTTATACTTTGCTTTCTCCTTTGCCGGTCTGGACCGACCGACGAGCGTGCCTTGATCTCACCAGTTCTCTTTCATCTACTCTTCCTCACGTGACCACAGGGGCAGCTCCCTCATTCTATGTTTATTGATTTAGTGTTACTCTTAAGAGCTCATCTCTCCTCCCAGTAGGAATTGTTGGCCATACAAGCTAATCTGATATAGAAACTAAGAGGACCCCACTTGGGGAAGGAGAACTGTGATGGACCCCAACATGCTTCCTCTAACAGATGTTCTGTCTGAGCCCATCATGGTAGTCCTGTGCTCCTCGTCACGAGCATGGGGACCAAGTGTAGCCAGTGAGATGCGAGAGGGAGTTTGTGGGAGGCCCCTGGGAAACGTTTTCTCCCTCCTAAGAGAGACCCAGGAGAGACATAGTGTCTTCAGTGGACGCGGTCAGGTTGGGATACGGTGCCTGGGGCTGCCGCAGCCTTGCTGAGGGCGGAGCCTGCACCAGGGAGGCAGATGAGAGTTCTCAATGGATGGAAGCAACTCTCTCTCTGAAGGTTGGCTTCACGCAACACTTCCTTTTATGGGTGAGCATGAGTCTCCGTCTTATTTAAGTTGGCTAGTGTCAGAATTCGGGTTACCAGTCCCTGGCAGCATCTCCCACAGCTAGGTAATCCTTTTGAAAGTGGACTAGGAAATATCTGAAAGAAAACAACAATGAACCTCCTCAACTCACTGGTCAATCGGAACTGAGACCGACTATAGTGACCAGATGGAGAGACTCTTGGACCTTTC